TTACGAGGATCGGAGAGCAATCCTAGCACTAGCCAAGCCAGTGGATCGAGTGACTCGTGATATACGTGCTTGCCTCACTAGTGACGTCATTTCCAGGCCTCTTTTCACCGACCAGACGCCGACCGGCCGGCGAGTCCATCGATCGAACGCGTGGACTTGCCACCACTCGTTGTCTAGCTCGTTCATATAAGCCACATCACGTTGCCCGTGGCTCAAGGACACTCACTCCCGTTCATCTTGCACAGTTGCACCCTTTGCTGCATGCATGTACATACATTGTTTGCTAAATACAGTAAGTATAGAAGATATTTTCTGGAAACTGTGTAACTTGTGCAGGTAATTAAGTGGGAGGATCTTGTCGTGTATGTCCACGTGTATCGATCGTGATCCAAACAAAGGTTTCAGTTTGGGAACAAAAATGATGAAGACCATGGTCTTCAACACGAGAAGAAATTTCATCTACCTAGGAGAGGAGAGTGTATCTCACTTTGTTATGAGCAAATAGTACTGCTTCAGTGAGCTTGATCGAATAACATATCAAATTTTGTCCTTGTCTAACTATAGAAATAATTATAAATTGTTAATTGTCTTTGTGCTAGTATATATCAGATTTTGTCAGAGTTTATGGTTTTATCTAATAGGTTTTTATTTTTAGACTAAAAAATTGTAGATTATACCTACACAAATTGCAACAAATAAAACTATAATTTTAATATAAAATATATGCAATAACCATCGCATGAAAGAAAGCTAAAATTCACCGTTCTACACACATCACGAAGGGTGGACAGCTACCATACACAATACCTAACCTAGGTAAAAAAAAGAAGGCTTAGCTAGATTCTCTAAAAAGGTAATGCTGAGTTCATAGAGAAAATATTGGGGGCTTGCTTTCTTTGTTTTAAGAATCTCCACCAGATTTTCTTTCTCCTTTCTCTTAAAATCTTGTATAGGAGATTGAGAAAACACAATTTATCATTTTAAAAAAGACACCGTGCTTTAGCAGATTGAGAAAAATACACACATCCTTTACCTCTCTGGCATATGGGACCAAATGCCAGCTGGTCAATTGTTTCCTTTGTTTCTCCTTGATCTCCTCTCTACCTCACACTCTAGACTCCAACCATTTCATCCATCTATTCTCTCTCTCATTCGGCGGCAGCGCCCTTACACTCTCTTCTCTCCCATGGCCAGAACGGCAACGACGACAAAGCTTGCTCGTCGAGCTTGGTGGCCAATGCGGCAGGCTCTCCTACTTGGCTCCTCGACATAGCGGCCGGCAAGGCAATGGCCGCACGGCTTCCTCGCCGGGCTTGTAGTTGTTGCCCCTGCGGAAAGGGGTGTCCCCTTTCTTTGAGAGAATGGGGCATGTTTTTGAGGAATTGAGATAAAAATTAAGGAAAGAGAATAAGAAAAGGGATCAACACGTTTTTTTTACTTCATTCCCTTATATAACAAGTTTTAGGAAAATGTGATTGTTTTACTGATCTAGTGGAGATGCTCTTAGCCAAACATCAATAGCCAATTACGGCTCACAATAGATACTCCCTTCCATCCTAAAATAAATAATGTTTCAGGTTTGTCCTAAATCGAACAACTTTAAGTTTGACCAAATTTAAAGGAAAGAACATTTTAATATCTATTGCACTGAGCAGGTAGAATATAAAAATATATTTCATGATAAATCTAATAATATAAATTTGGTATCATAAATATTAGTACTTTTTCATATAAATGTGGACAAATCTAAAATGGTTTGACTTAGGACAAACTTAAAAACATCACTTATTTGGGAACGGAGTGAGTACTGGCCAAAACTTGGATTAAAAATCGAAATAAGAGGTAAACATGCTGAATTATAACATGTAATGCTAGACTAGGCCTAAGCACCGTCAACTAGCGCGCCTCTCTGCCCTGCACCTCAGTTACGGCACAGAGGATCCTGTGGGTCCTCCGATCCGTCCAACTCCGAAGCCACCAGCGCGGGTAGCCAAAGCAGGCCGGCAGGGGGGTCCGGATGCCACGGCTGAAACGGCAGTCCCGCAAGCAACAGCATCGGCTCATGCATTGCAGCCCCTTTTGTCCCGCCACCGGTCACCAATTTGATACAGCCTCTTGCCTATCTCCCTCTCTCTCTAGCTATCTCCATGGCCATGTCTCCGTGTACATATCTCCGCTCCGGCTCCGGTGCACATCCCGTGACCGCCGGCCGCGTATATCATCGCTGAATCTGAGCCTCCCACACGAGAGTCAAACGCATAGCCTGATCCCCAGTTACCACGAGCTAAGCCCACACTAGCTAGCCAGTTAACCCTGCAATTGCTGCATCCTCTGCTCTGCTCTGAGTATCTGCTCCCAAACCAGCAGCTTTCTCCCTTCTAGTCCTCCTCGCTCGATCAATTCGCTCTTCTTCTTCTTCTTCTTCTTGCTGCTGCTGCTGCTCGTTGTGCGAGGTCGTCAGTCGCTCGATCGGTGCGGTCGAAGAAGGAGCTGATCAAGAGCTAGGGGGAGGAAGGAAGGTGCTGGATCGGAAGGTATATAAATCCCTGTAACTGAGCTACTCTTTCTATGATCCTCTCTGTTCTGATTGATGGCTCTGCATCCTGTGGGCAATAGCCTTTGTTGTTGATGCTGTAGTTAGTCTATACGGGTGTTTAATTTCCTTCCATGGATTCCCTTTCTAGCTGGTAGCTTCTACCTACCTAGTTCTTGCAAGAGATGCTAGCTGATGCGCTTCGTACCTCGCTCTTCGTGCTCTGCAGGGTTACCATCTAAACCCTGTGTCACTTGTGTTTTTTTTTGTGAGAGTTGTATCTTCCCTGTGGAAGCTTCCATTCCAATCATTTCTGGATACACTAGAGTGTACGTAGCTTGTAGAAGGTGAACGGTAAGTACCTTGGGTTTCCTGCACCCACACATTCCAGCATCTCCCGGCCAGTAGTCCTGCTCCTGCAAAGTGTATTTCCTTTGCCAGCATGCTGAATATTTGCAGGCTCCAATAAAGGAAGCACCAGTTTTCCTCTGCCATACATATTTTTTCATTTTACTTGGTAAATTGAATTTCTATTTATTTCCTTTTTTCCTTTGTGGGCTTTTAACTTGAGTGAAATAATCTGATTGAAAAATATACATCTGTCATCTTTCAGAAAAAAGAACAAATATACATGATCGTTGATGAAGATAATAGCTAGTGTTTCTGTACCTAAAATTAATATGAGCTATTTTTATAACAAACCAGGCAGAAGAGCTGTCATTATATGTTAGTAAAGACGAAGAGGAAGAAACCTGTTTGTTGCTGTGTGGTTGCATGATACGAACTGATTTGATGACTCCTGATGACTTTCTGGCATATGCCGTTCTAACAGTCCAATATCTCACTCTCAGATAGGGGATATAGGAACCTGTTGGAATTATGACTAGTTGACTATGCTGCCAAAACTATATTAGTTCAGAAGCTCTTATTTGTGGGAATTTTAGTAAAATAAAATGTACAGAAATAGTAAAATTGATAGGTGAGGTGCAAACTCTTCCCAAAGCTATCTCTGAGAAATTTTGAGTTTCAGTATTCATGAAAAGTGAATACATACTTTTCAATTAGTTTTAGTGAAAAGGATGGTTTATTTTCTTGAATTAGCCTTCTAAGTACACCAACAATTTAGTATTTATTTGACATGATAATTGATAAGTAAGAATCAATCTATAGATACTGAATGGGGATTCCGACATGCATTATATTTCAAAACCACAGTCATACCACAAAAAAAGTTGCAGACTAGTTGCCACGTTTTTATGCAGCAATGAGAGAGTACATGATGCTCTGGAGAATTAGTCAGTGGAGCTAGAACCCAAAAACATTTCTTTAGCAAGATCAAAAGCTACCACCGATCATTATTCTTTACCGTTATCATTTTAGAATTCAGTCATGGGGGCAAAACATGTTAGGTCAATTTCTTCTTTTCTTGGCCACACCGCCAAGAACTGATACCAAAATTGGATCAAATCCTCCCCCCAATAACTCTCTCTTTTACACAGGTCCCTCAAAACGTGTCGCTTCTAGGTTTCACTAGTTATCCAGCGAAGCACCATGATTTTGGGGCCATTTCCCATGTTAGACACTGATGGCTCACTAAAATAGTAAGTGCCAAAGTATGCTCCCACTGAAATTGCTTTGACCATCTTCTTTTTATCCTTGTGTGTGGATTCCATCATCTGATCCCATTATACATCTCTGGTGAGTGCTCTGCCTTTTCGCCCCGGTTAACTTGGTGGAGGTGAATGTGTGGTGTGTGGTGTGGTGTGGCTTCCATGAGGCAATCTATTGCATTTCCTGGTGTTTGTGGTGAAATGATGGCAACAGAACATGGTAGAGGCTGTCATGTGGGGCCGATGTCATGTGGGGCTGCTGTAGGCGCATGCGTCCAGCGCTGGTGGCTGAGTCCAGCTTGCTGTCCTCAATCTGAGGAGTGCATGGTGACCACATCCAGCGGCCAGCGCATGGTGGCTGAGTCCAGCCGGAGGTTTAGTTAGTGAATGGTTAGCAGGGTTAGCGGTGAATGGCTAGCAGCGAGTGAAGGAGCGGTTAGCAGTGAGTGAAGGAGCTTAGTTGGTGGAATAGCTAGCCGTGAGGCTATGTAAGCCGATTGGAAGGTGGTAGCTGGCAGGTCATCGTCTCTGAACATGTTTACATAGGAAACCAACTTGGGGCCTTGGGGGTGTCCAAATCACCTACCAGTTTGTGCATATAGTTGTGGCCACCTATGCAGTTTTTGAGGCTGACATTAGCCTAGTCCAAAAAACATGAACAGAAGTTTTGATTTTTTTTTTCACTTCAACTCATCTAATACTTTATCACCAAGAAATTGGATGGTTAATGAACTATAACCATGACTCATATCTCTTGTTTTCCATTTTCAGGTCTTCTGGGTCTCAGACATTCAGGACAGCACAAGAACCCATGTGATCCATTTCTTCAGAAAATCAGCCAACACCATCTGCTTGCCATGAGAGGACAAATCCTTGCCTGCCTCCCTCTGAACCTGATCACACTCCTCTCGCTCTTCCTCAGCTGCACCTGCCAAATCGACTCCCAAACACAAGCCCTCCTCCAGTTCAAGGCCGGGCTGAACGACCCTCTGAACCACCTCGTGTCATGGACGAACGCCACCTCCAAGTGCCGCTTCTTCGGCGTCCGGTGTGACGACGACGACGACACCGGCTCCGGCACGGTCACCGAGATCTCGCTGTCGAGCATGAACCTCTCCGGCGGGATCTCGCCCTCCATCGGGGTGCTGCATGGCCTGGCGCGGCTGCAGCTCGACTCCAACTCGCTGTCGGGGCCCGTGTCGCCTGAGCTGGCCAAATGCACGCAGCTCCGGTTCCTGAACCTGTCCTACAACAGCCTCGCCGGGGAGCTGCCAGACCTGTCCACGCTGACGGCGCTCCAGGCCCTCGACGTCGAGAACAATGCCTTCACCGGGCGCTTCCCGGCGTGGGTCGGCAACCTGTCCGGCCTCACCACGCTCGGCGTCGGCATGAACAGCTACGACCCTGGGGACACGCCGCCGAGCATCGGCAACCTCAGGAACCTGACGTACCTGTTCCTGGCCGGCAGCAGCTTGACGGGGGTGATACCGGACTCCATCTTCGGGCTCACCGCGTTGGAGACGCTGGACATGTCCATGAACAATCTCGCCGGCGTGATCCCGCCGGCCATCGGAAACCTCCGGAACCTGTGGAAGATCGAGCTGTACAAGAACAACCTCGCTGGCGAGCTCCCGCCGGAGCTCGGGGAACTGACCAAGCTGCGGGAGATCGACGTGTCCGAGAACCAGATCAGCGGTGGGATCCCGCCGGCTTTCGCGGCGCTCACGGGGTTCACGGTGATCCAGCTCTACCACAACAACCTGTCCGGGCCGATCCCGGACGAGTGGGGCGACCTGCGGTACCTCACGAGCTTCTCCATCTACGAGAACCGGTTCTCCGGCGAGTTCCCGGCCAACTTCGGCCGATTCTCACCGCTCAACAGCGTCGACATCTCCGAGAACGCCTTCGTCGGGCCTTTCCCGAGGTACCTGTGCCGCGGCAACAACCTCCAGTTCCTTCTCGCTCTCCAGAACGGCTTCTCCGGTGAGTTCCCGGAGGAGTACGCGGCGTGCAGGAGCCTGCAACGCTTCCGGATCAACAAGAACCGGTTCACTGGCGACCTCCCGGAAGGCCTCTGGGGGCTCCCGGCGGTGACGATCATCGACGTGTCCGACAACGGATTCACCGGAGCCATGTCGCCGCTGATCGGGCAGTCGCAGAGCCTCAACCAGCTGTGGCTGCAGAACAACAAGATCGGCGGGGCAATACCGCCAGAAATCGGCCGGCTCGCCCAGGTGCAGAGGCTCTACCTGTCCAACAACACCTTCTCGGGCTCCATACCGGCGGAGATCGGCAGCCTGTCGCAGCTGACGGCGCTGCACCTGGAGGGCAACAAGTTCAGCGGCGCCTTGCCGGACGACATCGGCGGCTGCATCAGGCTCGTCGAGATCGACGTCTCCCAGAACGCGCTGTCCGGGCCGATTCCGGCCTCGCTGTCGCTGCTGTCGTCGCTCAACTCGCTCAACCTCTCCAACAACGAGCTGAGCGGGCCGATCCCGACGAGCCTCCAGGCGCTCAAGCTCAGCTCCATCGACTTTTCCTCGAACCAGCTCACCGGGAACGTTCCGCCGGGGCTTCTGGTGCTCGCCGGCGGCAGCCAGGCGTTTGCCCGAAACCCCGGCCTCTGCGTTGACGGCAGGTCCGACCTCGGCGTCTGCAACGTGGACGGCGGCCACAAGGACGGCCTCGCCACGAAATTGCAGCTTGTGCTGGTGCTGGTCCTTGTCTCGGCGACGCTGCTGCTCGTGGCCGGCATCCTGTTTGTGAGCTACCGGAGCTTCAAGCTCGAGGAGCTCAAGAAGAGGGACCTGGAGCACGGCGACGGGTGCGGGCAGTGGAAGCTGGAGTCGTTCCACCCGCTGGAGCTGGACGCCGACGAGATCTGCGCCGTCGGGGAGGAGAACCTGATCGGGTCGGGCGGCGCGGGGCGCGTGTACCGGCTGGAGCTCAAGGGCCGCGGCGGCGGCGGCGGCGTGGTGGCCGTGAAGCGGCTGTGGAAGGGCAACGCGGCGCGGGTGATGGCTGCCGAGATGGCCATCCTCGGCAAGGTCCGGCACCGGAACATCCTCAAGCTGCACGCGTGCCTGTCGCGCGGCGAGCTCAACTTCATCGTCTACGAGTACATGCCGCGAGGCAACCTGCACCAGGCGCTCCGGCGGGAGGCCAAGGGCAGCGGGCGCCCGGAGCTGGACTGGCCGCGCCGGTGCAAGATCGCGCTCGGCGCGGCCAAGGGGATCATGTACCTCCACCACGACTGCACGCCGGCCGTCATCCACCGCGACATCAAGTCCACCAACATCCTGCTCGACGAGGACTACGAGGCCAAGATCGCCGACTTCGGCATTGCCAAGGTCGCCCAGGATTCCTCCGACTCCGAGTTCAGCTGCTTCGCCGGAACCCATGGCTACCTCGCGCCCGGTGAGTCGTCTTCATCTGACACTGGCCTTACACAATTATTTGTGCCACGTACTGATCGGCTGCGGTGTTCACGTTCGCAGAGCTGGCCTACTCGCTCAAAGTGACGGAGAAGACGGACGTGTACAGCTTCGGCGTGGTGCTGCTGGAGCTGGTCACCGGCCGGAGCCCGATCGACCCGCGCTTCGGCGAGGGCAGGGACATCGTCTCCTGGCTGTCCAGCAAGCTTGCATCGGAGAGCCTCGACGACGTCCTGGACCCGCGGGTGGCCGTGCTGGCCAGGGAGAGGGACGACATGCTCAAGGTGCTCAAGATCGCCGTGCTCTGCACCGCCAAGCTGCCGGCGGGCCGGCCGACCATGAGGGACGTGGTGAAGATGCTCACCGACGCCGGCGCGGCCCCCTGCAGCCCGCGCGGCCAGCCGCCGTCAAGGGTCTGCAGCAACAAGAGCTGCTGCTGAATTTTTGGAGCAGACTCTGCCTCTTGGCTCTTGCCACCGATAGATATGCCTCTGCTTCTTCGTTGAATCCCTGGTGCCATCTGCGCTATGTGATAGGACAATTCATAGGATCATGTACTTGCAGGTATTTTGTACAATGATTAAACTGAAGTACTCCTTAATCCTCATTAATGTAAGCCATATTTTGGTCAAAAATCTTTGAAAGCTGTATTATCACCTTTTGTTTCTCTTATAAGTTATAATAATATGCTATAATTGCTACAGAATAGTAATATCATCAGAAAAAATATTTTAAAAGTGAGGCAAATACCACTTTTGTGAAGATGCATATAATTTGATTAATTATTTTTCAATAAAAATGCCTTGAGATGATTTTTGCATAACAATAACATAAGCACAGACAATTCGTAGTCCAATCTATGTATAGAGCTTTGATAGACCTTATTGTCATTCCAAGAAAAAGCTTCCTCTCAATGTTGGTGGTATCTACAAGAAGGACTCGTCCTAACAAAAGATAATTTAGCTACGAGGTAATAGAAAGGTAATGTGAAATGTTACTTGTATGATCTAATTGAAACAATACCACAAATTGTCCTTTTTTAATCACAGCAAATTGTCATTTTGCAGATTCATTTGGAGAGTGGTATAAGATGCTTTTGATCTTACGGTATTGGGCCATGCATTGCAATGGGTACAGTCACACAAAATTTACACTGAGATAACTAGCCTGTTCGTTTCAGCTGAAACGATCGTGGATTATTACTGCTGCCTGGTTTGGTGTGAGAGAAAAATACCGTTCTGGCTTATAATCCACGAGCGTTTACGACCAAGCGAACAGGCTGAACATCTCTTCCAAGTTCGAAAAAATAACATGCAAATAAAATACAACAATACTTCATGGTATATATGTCTACATGTCCGAATAAAACCTTTCAACATCTTTTGGAGCAAATAACAATGGTCAGCATATCTTGAGTTCATCATGGCAGCAGCTCAAACATCTGTAAGATAAGAGTATTGGTATACTTTCCTTTGAATGTTTTATAAAACAAATATAGGTCCATCCTTCATAATAAGTAAATTTTATTTCTTTAATTAAGAGCCAAAAAAAGTAGGAGACAATTGGTTACATCATTGTTATGGACCTAAAAAATCAAATTTGAAATGGATCTCATCACTGTCACTCAACTTCTCCACCTTCATTCCTATTTGGTGAAATTAGTTACAGTCACCCCTGGAAGAATTATGTATCTGTATGGCATGAAACCATATTCACATTAATTTTTCCAAAAAAAAACATATGCACATTGCGCTCCCAAACACCACCCCTTCAATTGCTCTCTAAGAAGAGCATGGAAAACACAAATCTAATTTCAACAAATATGAGAGAAGTTGGAAGTCAGAAACCTGCAAGAACTTTGTGCGTTTGGGACCAGTGCCTTGGGACAGGTACTGTAAATTAAAAAAAAAAAAGTAACCATGAGATAAGATAAATGATCAAAAGTCTTTTTTTCGAACAACGCAGGAGAGCTACATGCCATTTCATTAAGAAGAAGTAGCGGGCTACAAGGGAAGGTCAGGAAACCATAACCAAAAACCCCAACAACAGCTAATGGGCAACACAGGAGAGGTCAAAAGACCCAGCCATAAACCCTAGCCCATAGCGCGCGCGCACACACACACACACCTAAACATGAACAACAAGGCACTGCTACAGATTGACTTATCACTATCGCCACTTTCACTGCCGTAGCGATAGAAGCGACTGTATTACGCTTCCACCGCCGGTTGGACCAATAGGGAGGCCTCCTGAGGAAGGAAACCGACAGTTGAAACTTCTACCACCCACGGGTTAACAATAGATGCGGCAGTGGTATTTTCTCTGTCACATGAAAAGCCGAGCCGACTGGGATAGGCGTTCTAGCCGCCGGCCCTAAATGACCGTTCGGTCTACCGGCGGTAGTAAATTTAGCAAGTTTTTTCCTAACTACCCACAACACAGTTGCTGATGAGGACATCAACACCAACGATACATCCATGCCGACACGAGTACCAGTTGGTCCTATTACTCGTTCGTCACATTAATCATCAAGTAAGTTCACTCTTGAGTTTTCGTCCATCATATTTAGACCATGGAGACGCGTGCACTCTTGTTTTGGTTAGGAACCAGGGAGAGGACCGAAAGGGACAAGGATTCGCGGAGGCTGAATTCGGACTCCAGGACAGCTCCAACTTGTGATGGTCACCATAGTCGCATACGGACTCGGATTGGGGAGTTCAAGTACTTCATGGAATCCTTATGAAGTCTATTTTCATATGGATCTGGAATCGAGTCCATATCTGTTTTGAGGCGGCCACAATGACTGAATTACAACTGAGAGCTTGTCTATCCAAAGGTGCTACGTCACCTTAGTTTGGTCCAATGGGCCGTGTATCAAGTTGGGTCCATTAGGGACGCATCCTAAGGTTGGAGAACGACCCCAACACCCTGGTGGTCGTCCTTCCACCTTCATATACTCCTTAGCCGCCACCAAGAATAGTTGGGTTTTGTTTAGATCAAGTTTAGCTCTAAGCTACTTGCTTGTAAGCGCAGCGTCTTTGGATCACCGCCCGTCTTCTTGTCTTGAACCCCACCTTAATTGAGATTGAGTTTGAAACTTTCATCTACATCTAGTAATTTAGTACTTGCTATACTTGTTCTTGCTAGTTCTTGATTGCTTGCGGATTTGAGTGCCCTAGTGGCGGTGACGCGCTCCACAAGATCGCGGCACATTGTTGGAGGTGGTGTATCGGTTGCTAAAGGCGCAGCTTGGAAGGTTGTAGTCGGGCCGTGAACGTCGTCTCCACCCATCAATCGAGTTATCCCACACCTCTCATCAAAAGATCAGGAACAAACCCTAAGCGTGATCATATCGGTTTGGTAATCGAGCAAGGTTTATCGGTGAGAGACTTGAATCCTTATTTTTTTTTTTTTTCCTATAGTCCGGAAAAGCAAAAAAAAAAAATAGTAGATTAGTTTACCCACAATCCTATAAACCCTTTGAGCCTTTGCTAGCACTTTGCTTAGTTAGGGCTTGTTGAGTTTTTGGTTGCATCGGTTGTGTCGAGTTCTTTGGTCTTAGTTTTAGTCCTTTAGAGTTTTGAGTTCTTGTCACGTTCTAGTCACGGCCGTGTGCTACCATATAAACCTTACATTGGCTGAATCCGAATACATCCTTGTGTTCAAGTCTGAGTAGGAATCTGAGTTTGTTTTGAGACCGAATCCCACGTGGTGTTGAAGTTTGAGTTGGAATCGGTTTTGAGTCCGAATTGATAGCTGTCTTGTTGCTTGTTTTGAGTCCTAATCTGAGTACATCTTTGTGCAAAGATGAGTTTATATCTATACTCAACTTCTCCACGTCCAACATATCCATATTAGCTCAGCTCACTCTAGAGTTCTAATCTTGTTAAAGACCGAGTTGGAATCGTTGTGGACTCTGAATTGGTTGTTGCGCCCGTGTTATTAAATCTTGTTGCTTTTTGCACTTGTGCTACATATATTGAAGTGTTCGAGAAAGCGCGTGAAGTCCATACCTGTACTCGACTCCTCCACATTGTGCATACATATTGGCTTGGTTTTACTCCAGAGAGAGAGAGATAAAAGAAAAGAAAGAAAAAAAAAGAAAAGAAAGAAAAAAAAGAAAAAAGGGGCTGTTCGTTGTGAGAGAGAGAGAGAGAGAAAAGAAAAGAAAGAAAGAAAAAGAAAACAAAAGAAAAGAAAAGGAAGAAAAGAGGCTGTTCGTTGTGCTTCTCCATTTTTTCGGTGGTGTGTTGTGACTTCCTTTGTGTCCAGGCTCGCGCCTCTAGCACGGTCTAGGCTAGGACCAGCACAGTACCACCGTTGAACGATTATTCAGCTTGCTTTTGTGACTAACGTGGTGCTAGTACTTCCGTGCTTCAGCCACCTATAGCTCCACATATTTCGACTACAGCTTGACAGGTGTTGTTGTTGCGGCACCGATACACTTCATTCCATGGTTGCAGACTTGTTAGTTGCCGTCCCTTCCTGTTGAGCAAGGTAAGAATTGGTAAGAGCTTTTGTAACAGGTTGAGAGTGAGCGCCTTGCAGTAGCTACATCCTAATAGTTGTAGGGCTTTTATTTTTTCACCTGTTTTCTGCCACCACGGATCCATATGATGTCCGATTTGGGAGTTTAAATACAATCTGAAAACTTGAAGTTGTCTTCTTTCCAATGGATCTGACCTTGCAGCAAAATTCGATCTGAGCACTCCACAATCTTCCTAGAGATTTCCACATCTGCTGTAATAACAAGAGTTGTTAAATCTGAATTCGAAGGGGCTGTGTGCAATAGCCTTATTGTTTGGGTTGTCATAGTACCAAACAAAATATTTAGGGCTCTGCGAAAAAAAGAAGAAAAAAAAGACAAGAGAAGGAGAAGAAAGAAGGGGCTGAATCTGTTGTTTTCTTCGTGCTGTGCTAGTTGCTCTTTTTCAGTGACTACCTTTGTGCCTAGGCTCACGTCTCTAGCATGGTTTAGCCTAGGACCAGCACAATACCACCGTTGAACGATTATTCAGCTTGCTTTTGTGACTAACATGGTGCTAGTACTTCCTTGCTTCAGCCCACCTATAGCTCCACATATTTCAACTACAGCTTGACAGGTGTTGTTGTTACGGCACCGATACACTTCATTCCATGGTTGCAGACTTGTTGGTTGCCGTCACCTCCTGTTTGGCTTGGTAAGAACTTGTAAGGGCTTGTTTTAACAAGTTGAGTTTGAGAGAATTACAACCGACACATCCTAGTAGTTGATAGGAGGATACATATTTTTTGTGTTTCTTGTTTTCTACTAATCATGGCAGGTGATACGAAGATTTTTGAGCTGTTGAAATTAGACCCTCATATTCAGGATGTCATTCAACACTTGCCGGTATATGATGGTAAGTTTGATCCTAAAGCTTACATTGATTGGGAGCTAAAAGTAGATAATGAATTTGAT